GAGGAGAACAAATCGGAATCATTTGGATGAGAATGAGAAAAAAAGAATAAAAGTTAAAGAACCACAAAAGATCATTGTCGTTCCGAGAAAACCTGTCATTGGATCTCAATTAGAGATAGACCACAAAATAAATTGTTTTAATTTTGATTGTTATGTTCTGAGAGAGTGTGATTAAATTATAAAAACGTTATTTAATTAATATTTTTCATATTTTTATTAATTATAGTGTAATAATTTTTATTGTTGTTTAATGATAATTAATTAATTAAATAATTATAATAAAAGAAAATAATACAAATAATTTTATGAATAAAACAAAAAACTTTTTATAATAGTATAATATACCATTAAGTAGTTTATTTAATCTTATAAATATTGTAAAACTATTATATATTAATAATAATATTGAAAATAAAAAAGTTTTTGTTTTCATAATTGAGGTGGTGAAGATTTTTTGGTTTATGACTTGTGGAAATGACATTTCTATTATTTAAAACAATTAAAAAACAACCATTAATTATATTAGTTTATATTTTTATTTTTTTTAACAAAATAAAATAAATACTTTTTAACCTTTTTAATTGAATTAAAAACTAATATTAATAAAGTGATGAATGTTTATTTTTTTAATCAAAAAATAAAACAAGATTAAAAATTAATAATTTGGAGAAACTGTCTTTCACTATTATTAATTAAATGTTTTTAAATATTATTATTATAATTTATTTATTTTACAAAAAAATACTTATATACAAAAAAAATATACAATTATGATTATAGTTTATTATTATAAATATAGCTATATTATATAATGATTTTTTAATGGATTATTAGTTTTAAATTAAATAAACCGATATTTTATATCATATATTTGTTAGTTTTATCAATAATCCCCATAAAATGCACTTAAACAACGTAACATAACAATGACACAAATTGTCGTTTTAAATTAACATCAACTCATTTACATTTGTAAATGTCAACTTTAAAGTCAAAAGTCCAAAAAAGGGTAAAATAAAAATAAAGGAAATTGTCCATGTTCTATCCATCATTTTTTATTTTTTCCTTTTTGTAAACTTTTGTCTTCAACATTTTTTTTTACTCAATTACAACAATTAATTAACAAAAATATAGTTAATATACCATGTTATTTTAATTAATTTCAGTTTTTATTTAAAACTCAAAAACACACAAAAAAAGTCCAACTTATTTGATAATGCCGAACAAACTTCATTTAATTTTTTTGTTATGGTGGACTCTGTTCATAATTGTGGATTTGGTAAAAAAAAATTGTTTTTGTCTTATTTTTACAATATGAATAACATTTTTACTTCACAGTGTTACTAATTAACAGCTATGACTTTAAAAGATCGCCATTAAAGGAAACAACCCAAAATATTGACATTTTGAGTTATCGTATCAGAAGATTTTTCAAAAAGTTGTGTTTTGAATAACCTTTTTTCCATTGTTGTTCCATTTTTTAAAAAACGTTCATTTAAGAAGTCAAAAAAGACTGGACTTTTGATCCATTATGGACAAAACCAAAATTTTGAAATCATTTATTGCTTGGTGATTCAAAATCCCAACAGATAGAATTCTGGTAATTATCAATTTAACTGTGAATTATATGAAGACGAAATTCATTGATCTTATAATACTATTCTGAATGCCACTCTTTTGTATCTCCGCCACACGGAGATTTTTGAATCGACTACACAGTGTCACTGTGACCAAAACCTTTGTCGACGAGATGATCCTCCACGACAGAAATTTGTTTCTCACTCTTTCAAAAATTCTCACAAAAAACTTTTCCAAGCGCAGTCCACTGAAGACTTTAAAAATTTTCGAAGTGCTTTTTTGGGTCTTAAAAAGTGACCAAGCTGAGCCTTTCACGCAATTTCTCATCAATAAAAACGTTCATTTTAATTTGCTCAAAAAGTCCACTAAATTGAACTTTTTATTTAACATATTTTGTGACTATGTAGTGACCTTGTACTATACTATTTTAGATCACAATGTTACAGACAAAAACATTAACTTAGACCAGTCAAATCACTTAACACTTTTAAATTACTTAGAACTGCTGATTAAGAGCTCCAAGCTAGTCAATGCAGTGGACTATGACATGTACACTAATACAGTCGAAGAAATGGAGGTCTTGAAGATTCTCTTTGTTGAAAGTTACTCGCTGCACTGTAAAGAGACGAATTGTATAGTCCGATTAACTTCACAAGTATCCCAGTTCTCGACTTTGAGTGTCCAAAAGTTCATCATGTTACTCAAAGAGTTCGAAGGGGTACAAGACACCTTTGTTCAGCACAAAGCAGAGTCCAAGAACTTCGGGCGGATCTCTGAAACACACATTTTGCACACAAAGTACTTGTCCGAGCTTTTGAATGAGAAGATTGTACGAAAGCAAGAAGAGGTGGGGTGCAGAGAAGTTGATCAGAAAGTCGTTGAGTTCGGGGTGGAGACGCAGAAGACCTTTATTACTAATGTCCTCAAAACACTCGAAATCATATCAAAGCAATTATTACTAATGTCCTCAAAACACTCGAAATCATATCAAAGCAATTCTTCCCCGTTTACTCAGAAGTCGATATTAAATATGACACACAGTCGCCGGGGAACACTGTGATAATGAGCGATTTGTAAGTAGTTGTTTAATTGATGTGTTTGTATGTCTTTGTAATACGATGGAAGGTTATACTTCAAACTCCCTCACTGTACTATTAAGTATAAATTAAGTATTATTAAATGCCAATTCAAAAGTATTCAATTAGTGTAACAGTTACATATAGTTTGTAATAGTTAAATTATAGTACACATTAATATGTTACTCTAATGAAACGAACAAATAAATCAAATGATTCAAATTGGGTGTCATGAGCCAAGTTCTTTTGAAAAGCGACTTGACGTTATGGTGATGACTGGAGTCATTCTTGGGTTCTTAATAGGCGTTTCCATTGGGTTACTCTATTCGGGTGTCTCGTTTCCGAACTTTTTAATCTTTGTAATCCTCTTCTTTGTCTTCCATATATTGGAATTCATGTTTAACGCAGTCAATTTTCCGAAGGAAACAAGCTTTGCATCGTATTTGTTAACACACTCGAAGGAATTTTTAATTGCTTTCTCTTCAGCTCTGACGGAATATTGGATAGAGTTTTTTATATTTCCGGAACTCAAAACTAATCCATACATTTACATCACTGGACTCGTTGTCTGTGTGGTCGGACAAGTGATGAGAAGCGTCGCAATGTTCTATGCGCAGAGCAATTTTAATCATATCATCGAAACGGAGAAGAGAGAGTCACATCAACTCGTCGACGACTTCATATATAAGTACCTTAGACATCCGTTTGTTTCTCTTCATCACACAAATATTGGGACTTTGAGTTGAAATAACATTATAGATCATACACGGGATGGTTCTACTGGTCTGTGTTTTCACAAGTTGTCTTATGCAATCCAATTTGTCTGGTGTTATACATCTACGCGTCTTGGACATTCTTCGAAGATAGAATTCCTTACGAGGAAGCGACTTTATATGAGCAGTTTGGAGAGAAGTACTGTGATTATATGAAGAAGACATACATTCTTATACCATGTATCACGTCTGTAAATCCCCCAAACAAGAAGTTGTTGTGAGATGTTAATTAATTAATTGACGCGGTGGAATTCAATTAATTGTTTTACATTTTTTTATAATTTTTTATAATTTTTTATCGCAATTAAAATTAGTTTCATTACTTTTATTTTGAAAAATGAAATGTTCTAAAAATATAAAAATTTGTCGCAATCAATAAGAAAATGTATTGTAAAATGATACTGTTTTTAATCGCGACTTTAAATCACATAGAATGGGGTGGAGAATCATATACGCTATGTCTATTGAATCATATGAAGGGACGTTGTGTTGTATTATATTATTACCAATACTTATTATTTGTGTTGCAAATTTCTTACCAGTTTCTGTTGTTAGTTGTTGTTTAGAAATACCGTTGACCATCATTGACAAAGAAGCGCTTGCCATATCTTTGATTATATTTGTATGTGCAGATTTACTATCACAAATTCCACGCTCGCCGTTTTGGAAGATCAGAAAAGGCGTTATTAAAGACTTTTTAAGAAAGGGAATGATGTTCTGAACAAACAATGCTGGTGTTACAGAAAAGTCAAAAATAATATTTTCGAGGTCGTGTTGGTCCATAGTCTCAATATTTAATGATTTCTTTTCCATCTGCAGCACTTCATCACCCACTATGAGAAAGTCCAAGTGCCCCAATTTTTGTAAAATTGTGAAAATTTTGTGAGAATTTATAACATTGATATTTTCTGTCGCAATGAAAAATATTTTTGGTTTCCAACTTTCGAAATGTTCAAATTTGGACAAGTTGGTATATACACCCTCTTTACCACAAATAATAACAGAAGCGTTGTTATGTAACAAAGTGGAAGCACAAAAAGTTGTTGTGTCAACAGAGCCATTCACAATCAAAGCTATTGTATTCGACAAATCTCTTGTTTTGAGGCGATTCGCCAAAAAGATTTTCCCACAAGTCAAGCAGAAGTGCGTGTAGTCACCGTGCATTAAAGTGCTTTTTTTACCGCAACAAGTGCAAGTCAAGAAATTTGTT